AAAAAAAAAAAAAAAAAAAAAAAAGGAAAGAAACGGAAACACGGATTCGGCCGTGAAAATGGCTGGATACATCAGGATTACAATCCTCTGAGGAAACACAGCCAGCGCAGATCACGGATTCGGCCCTGCCTCGTTGGCAGTGGACTCGTAATAAACAAACGAGAAATAAAAAAGGAAAACAACAAGTTTCAGAATGTGACCATCTTTGCTGTAGAATGCATTCTGTAGAGGAAGACTGTGAGCACGGCCTCCTCCTAGACTACCCTGCCCGACATCATTTTTTTTTTTCCTTTTTCTTTCACGCGCGGGAAAAAGAAAACTAAGATCTCCGGGATTCGCCGACCCTGGGTCCCACCACCGATTTCTTCGGGGACAGACCAGTACATTGTAATTTCCCAACACTGGCAGAGGTACTGGTGGTTTAATTTTAATGTTAATGTTAATGTTAATGTTAATGTTAATGTGTCCTGTTTGTTTTTCTGTTTGTTTCCTGTTTGTTTCTGTTTGCTTATGTTTGCGGATGTTTGCGGATGTTTGCTTCTGTTCTTTTGTTTGTTCCCTGTTTGTTCCCGGTTTGTTCCCTGTTTATTTCTCTCTGCTTCTGTTGATTTCTGTCTGTTTTGGTTTATTCCTGCTGTTCTGTTTGTTTTCTGTTGGTTTATTTGTTTCTGTTTGTATAGGCTGGCTTTTGTTTGATTTATTTGTTTTAGGTAGCTTTTGTTTGTTTTGTTTGTTTTGTTTGTTTTGTTTTCTGTTGTTAGGTTTTTGTTTTGCTTGCTTCTGTTTGCTCTGTTCGTTTGTTTGTTTGGTCGTTCTGTTAGAGAAAGAAAGGGCCTCGCTTCGCTACACAACACTACATACATTTGGATGACTTCTGGACCAGGTGCATTTGGACGAGTCCAACACTTCGAGTGCATCCAGTCCACAGAGCATCCAATTGCATGTAGAGTGTTGTGAAGCAGGGCAAGACCCAAAAGCAAAACAAAAGTTTGGCTCTTTCGTGTTGCCACGGAGGATTTTAATAATGAATTGAAAATTTGATATTAGCGGCCTCGCTCTGCTATGCAACACTCTACATGCATTTGGACGCATTCTGGACCAGGCGCATTCTGGCGAGTCCAACAAGTTGAATGTATCTGGTCCAGAAAACGTCCAAGTACATACAGAGTGTTGTGTAGTGTTGCGAGGCCCTAAACTACCTCCTCTTGCAAGCCAAGGTGAAACTTTGAGAAAGGTTTGTTAGGCAAAAAAAAAAAAGGAAAAAAAAAGAGACTTTGAGAAAGGTAATTAGCTCTGCTTCGAGAGTCTCTGATAGATCAAAATGCATCCAAAGCTTTAAAAAAAAATTAAAAAAAATCCCAAGCTGCAAACCAAGGAAAAAACTTCATTAAAAAAAAAAAAGAAAAAAAAAAGCAAGTTTACCGCGGATCCACCGGGCCTGAACCTTGTCTGTCAGAACCCTGAACCAGGTCTTTCCTTTTTTTTTCTCCTTTTTTTTTTTTTTATCCTCGACATGGTCGAAGGCAAGGGCAAAGCAGTACTGCACCAAGCCCAAGGAGACTGATCACTCCTGACACGTCAGTCCATGTCAGGCTAAAGCAGAGTTTGTATGGCCCGGGAACCGAGCCTGGACCGAGCCTGGACCAAGCCTGGACCGAGCCTGGACCGAGCCTGGACCAAGGCCGAGCCTGGACCGAGCCTGGACCAAGCCTGGGCCGAACCTGGACCGACCAGGGCCAGGTCTGTAACAAGCCCAAACTGCCGCTGTTGCCGAGTTTAAACCAGTTCTGCTGGATTGGAGCGAACCAGGTCTGTACCAAGAGCAATGAACCAGGTCTGCATCAAGGCTGAATGAACCAGGTCAGTACCAAGGCTGAATGAAGCACGTCTGTACCAAGGCTGAATGAAGCACGTCTGTACCAAGGCTGAATGAACCAGGCCCTGCACCGAGGTTGCACCGCCTCTGCTCCAAGGCTGAACCGACCGTGTTCCAAAGACTGAACCAGACTGTACCAGGGCTGAACTAACCAAGTTCTGCACCAGGACACTGAAAGAACCAGCAGAGTCTGTACCAGGGTGAAACCACCCCCTGCTCCCAAATCTGACCTGGTGCACCTTTGAAAAAACTCCAAGACGTGGGAAAGGCTTCGAGGGAGTTCGAGTACCAGTCGGTCCACGGCACCAACTTGTTTCATCTAGGTTCTGCACACAAGGAGCTCAGAGATTAACATCAGGTGGAGGTTTGGTGCAGACTCAGTGCAGGTTCAGTGCAGGTTCAGTGGAAGGTTCAGTGCACGTTCGGTGGACAATCAGGGCAAAAATCCCATTTGCACGCTGCGGTGCAGGCTCGGTGCAAGTACGGGGCAGGCTAAGTGCAAGTTCCGTACACACTTCGGTCCAGGTTCAGTGCAGGTTCGGTGCAGGTTCAGTGCAGGTTCGGTGCAGGTTCGGTGCAGGTTCGACGCAGGTCCAGTGCACGTGGGGATTTTGCCCACGGAGGGAGTAGCTCAGTGAGGGAGAGAGAGGGAGGGAGGAAGAAAGGCAGGAGAGAGGAGAGATGAGGCAGGGGGAGAGAGGGACGGAAAGAGAGGGAAGGAGGGAGACGGAAGAGCGAGGGAGGAAGGGAAGAGGGAGGAGAGACGGGGGGAAGGGAGGAGTTTAGTGATGGAGGCAGAGAGGGAGGGCGGGAAAAGAAGGAGAAGGCAGGGAGGAGGGAGGGAGCGAGGAGGGAGAGAGGACGAAGTGAGGAGGGAGGGAGGGAAGGAGAGGGAGGGAGGGAGGGAGACGGGGCAAGGAGGAGAGGAAGGGAGGGAGAGGAATCGAGGGCGTGAGGGCGAGAGAGGACGAGAGGGAGAAGGGAGGGAGCGAGGGAGGGAGGAGGCAGGGAGGGAAGGAGGGAAGGAGCTTACTGTCTATCTTCATGCTTTGAAGAGGGAATGCATCACCAAGTATGGTCTTGACCTCTTCAAGCTTCTTGGCGTTCCCTGTAACAAATGTGATCGGCACCTTGTTTCCTATCAATCTTGCCGCCGCCATCTGCGCCGAAACCGCCATAGCTGCGGCCATAGCCAAAGCTTGCACAGTCAGCGTGGATCCTCCTAACACATCAATTACCAAAACACTGGACTGCAGAGACCACCAGCTCACTTACTCATCCATCGACTGCGAGATCAGACACACATCACTCTCTCTTCACCTGCACCACACACATCCGCATGAAGATTACGGGTCATTATCCTCTCTCTCTCTCTCTCTCTCTCTCTCTCTCTCTCTCTCTCTCTCTCTCTCT